TCTTCCATCTAAAAACAGCTTTTTATTCTGGTAAAAAGTTGGCAGCACTGGTGCTGTGTGCTCATTTTGGCACAGTGAACGAGAGAGCAACAGCCATCTGCTTGCTTCAACGCATTGCCTGTTAAGTAATAGACCGAATTCTGTGCATGTATGCATGCATAAGCTGTGCGTGTGTGTGTGTGTATGCAGAGAAAGCGCGCGCAAAAAGATTCACTAATTAAAAAAAACATAGCAAGTATTAAATGATATGACAGCGGTAGTTAATGTATAGATTTTGCGAACTTTTTACGTAGTTCACACACATATACACGCAGTTACGTCTGTATATATTTCCGCACATTTGTGGCTTGTTGTGAACGAGGTTAAGTTGCCGCTGCCATTGAAAGAGTTCATTGTTGGGTTTGCGACCGCCGTTTCGTTTGATTAGCAAATCGAAGGTCAACAACAAATTGTTAACAGCTTTATCTACGCATTTGGAACAGATACACACATACACAGAAACATACGCATTCGCACGCACATACATACGTATGTATATATGTACATACATATGCATACATGCATTTTTATGGAAGTGTACATATGTTCTATTTGTGCGCTTTATGCTTAACCTTCGTTTTATGCATTTTCGTTGGCTTTATTTTGAATGTTTGGGCTGCAAACGTACAGCTCACACACACATATGTATATACACATGCGCACTCATATTTGCGTATATGTGCACTTATTGCTAATTGTTTGGTTTCTTACCGTTTTGCACTATTATTGACAGCTTTAATCGCTACCAATATACTGTTGTTTTCTTAAATAGTTCTTTAAATATTTTATGCACTGCACTCACTCAATCTACACTTGTTAATTGATATCTTCTTTATGCACAATACCGCTGGCTTGACACCGCAAGTGATGGCACAATTAATCATATGATACACAATCGATTAATTCAATTGACGACTGTTCGATTGTGTGCAAAGACTATTTTATTTTATTTGAAGATAACAGTTATGACAATGTGCAGGAGTTCAATGAAAAAAAAAAAAAAGAACAAAGGAAAGAAGCTGCCATTGTTAATTTTCGTTGCTTATATCAAATGGCATGGGTTCACACTACTATCGATAACAAGTACATTTGGCGGCAAATCTCAGCATTTACTGTGGCAAGGTCAACGCGCAGGCGCCGTGGTGTGCAACGATACTAGAAACTTATCTATATTCGTACATATGAATTGTAAATATCAGCTATATGTGTAACAATAACTATATTTTATGATTGTTGTAGTTTTTGCTAAGTTTTTAATAAGTAATAAAAATAAAATGTGGCAGACATATCGGTATTAAGGCTTCTCGATATATGACATTATGTTATTCACATCCCTATTTGCCGGCAAACACAATACCGAGCGGCAATTGGAACCGCGGATATTTATAAACAACAGACAGTAGCCGCATTAATGAGGCTCGTGAAGCCTGGTTGGGTGCATCACGATGGTAAGCAGTATTCCATGCAGTCGGCCATTTAATTCTATTATGATTTGCTTGTAGATAAACCCATCTTCTCAGTGGACGTACACCAGGATTGTACGAAATTTGCAACGGGCGGACAAGGAAATGATTCGGGACGTGTTGTCATTTGGAACCTCAAGCCGGTGCTCTCTGAGAAGGATGAGAACGATGCATCGGTGCCCCGCATGCTCTGTCAAATGGATCAGCACTTGGCGTGCGTTAACTGTGTGCGCTGGTCACAGAACGGACAGCTCCTTGCATCCGGTTCCGATGATAAGCTGATCATGATCTGGCGCAAGGCCCAAGGATCAAGCGGTGTCTTTGGCACCGGTGGAATGCAGCAGAATCACGAGTCCTGGAAGTGCATACACACGCTGCGCGGCCACGACGGCGACGTTCTGGATCTGGCCTGGTCGCCGAACGATTACTTCCTGGCCAGCTGTAGCATAGATAACACCATCATTATCTGGGATGGTCAGGCGCTGCCCAACATGCTGCAAACTCTGAAAGGACATACGGGTTTGGTGAAAGGTGTGGCCTGGGATCCGGTGGGCAATTTCCTAGCCTCGCAGTCGGACGATCGCAGCATAAAGATCTGGCGCACCGTAGACTGGTCGTGCAACACAACGATCACGGAACCGTTTCAGGAGTGCGGCGGAACCACACACATTCTGCGGCTTTCCTGGTCACCCGATGGCCAGTATCTGGTCTCCGCGCATGCCATGAACGGCGGTGGACCCACAGCCCAAATAGTCGAACGCGAGGGCTGGAAATGTGACAAAGATTTTGTGGGCCATCGCAAGGCGGTGACCTGTGTACGCTTCCACAACTCCATACTTACGCGGTATATGGCCGGCGATAGTCCCAGCAAAGCGATGCAGTACTGCGTCCTGGCTGTGGGCTCCAGGGATCGATCGCTGTCCGTGTGGATGACGGCGCTCCAGCGACCCATGATCGTCATCCATGAACTGTTCAATGACAGCGTGCTGGACCTGTCGTGGGGTCCGCAACAGTGTCTGCTGATGGCCTGCAGCGGCGACGGCACCATCGCCTGCCTGCAGTTCAACGAGGAGGAGCTGGGCACACGTGTCTCCGAGGTGGAAAAGAAGGCCATCTTCAAGCGTAAATACGGCGGCTGCATTGAGGACAACTACGCCATCAAGCAGCAGGCACGTAGCGTGCCCGAGTTCACCTCGTATGCCCTGCCCAATGCGGCCATGGAGCGACGCCTGCCTGTCCAGCCGGGTCAAGCGGGCACAGCGTCGCCAGCGCGTGCCATTAGCAAACAGACAGAGACGCGAACCAAAGATGGCAAGCGACGCATCACACCCATGTTCATACCGCTCAACGAACTCTCAGAGCCGATTTCGACCATGGGCAGCAGCAGCATCTCCAGCACCGGCATCAACACCATCCAAAGCAACAGGTGGGCAGCGTCTATAATTAACAGCCAGAGGCAATTGATGATGAAGCAGCTGAGAGGAGCCGATTGAGAGGCGTTTAGAGTGAGAGAGAGAGAGAGCACGAATCAAGCAGGTGACAACTGCATAGTAATCTTTTCTAGAGCGGACATCTACCCTAACTCCATGAATTTCAAATTAGAGCAAGTGCATCATAGGCTAGCACTTGGATTTAGCTAGAGAATGCCGAACATATATGAAGAAGAAGAAGCAGAAGAAGACGAAAGCAGCTTAAAGTCTGGCATTCAGCAATGAGCAAGAGCATCATCATAAGAGAAGAAGAGGAAGCAGAAGATGAAAAAGAAGAGGGAGCAGAAAAAGAAGAAGCTGTAGAAGAAGAAGAAGAATCTAAGTAGCTGGGAAAGTCCAAGATTTTATGAATACGCCAGACAAAGAAAGAATAAAAGAGAAGCAGAATCAGAAAAAGAAAACAGAAATAAAATTCAGCTAGCTGGGAAAGTAGACGATTCAGCCTGCTGGGAGCAAGTGCAGCAAAGCCATTGGAATCACCAGTGAAATAAGAATAAGAATAAGAAGAAGAAGAAGCCAGACAGCTAGCTTGAAAGGCTTTCAGATATAGAGTCAGCGATTAAGTCAGGAAACAAGATCTCTAGCTCTAGCACTCCTCTAGCCCAATTCAAGCTCACAGCTAATCTATTCTCCGTTTCTTTCAGCAACAGCAATAGCACCAACTGTGGTAGCCACAGCCTGGGCACGGCCGGAGCGGGCACAACGAACGCCGTTAGTGGGGTGGAGCCACTGATGCCAGAGCCGCTGTTCACACGGCCAGACCCGGTGGGACGCCTGATGTTGCCGCCAGCGGCGACAGCGACAGCAACGATTGCACCGCGTCGCAATTCGATGCAGCTGCTTAGCGATTCGAATAGCAGCAATACGCTCGGGCCGAAGATGCAAATAACGGCGAATAGCAAGTGCGAGTTCACCAAATCCGCGCAGGACTATCGCATCCATGTACAGAACGGGCACCTGAAGACGGGCTACGGCATGATCGCCAAGGTGACGGCGCAGCTGAGCCGCGAACAGCTCTGGGAGATGTATGTGGGCTCGCCCGTGATCAATGTGAATCTGTGTAGCAAATATGTGATGCTCTGCTCCCTGGACGGCAGCATGCGGCTGTTGGACATGCCGACCGGCTGCCCCATCATTCCGGCCATCTCATTGAACAGCGTGGCCGTACACTGCACCTTCAGTCCGGACAATCAGATGGTGGGCGTGCTCACCGAGTGCGGCCTCTTGAGGATCTGGCACATTCCCAAGCGATGCGTTCGAGTGGCCACCAACTGCCTGGAGCTGCTGACCAAGCACGGCATGGCGCTGCAGTTCGCTGTTACGGATCAGGGCATGCCCCTGATTGGTTTTCCCAGCGGCAATTCCTACTCCTATTCCACAACCCTAAAGTCCTGGCTGGTCCTGGCCACGGGCGATGCCATCATGTTCAACGGCATTCGTGGCTCGCTGCCGCGCGATCTGGAGCACGTGAATCGAAAGTTTCCGCTGCTCAGCATGCAGGCCAGCACACAGAACTATCTCAGCCTGCGCGGACCCGTCGAAATGTGAGCTTGCAGTTGACCTAACGTTGCGTTCCATAGCTAATCTCAATTGTGTTTTAGCGATCCGGAGAGCTGGCAGCAAACGGCCAAGGTGCTCTTCCTGGAGAATCAAATAAAACTGTGCGAGGCCATGGAGGCCACTGAGGAACTGAAGCATTGGCACGCCATGCTCACCTTCCAGCTGGCCACCTACGGCACCGAGAAGCGATTGCGATTATTCTTGGATGGCCTGCTCAATAAGGACTCGGAGCAAACACAGGTGAATAGCTAGATAAGAAAGGAGAGCTTTTAGGAGGTGACTCCTCGTAGGAGTTGCTTGATTTTAATGCCTTCAACCAGTCTAATCCGTTGACAATTTTTCCTGCCCGCAGTGTGTGCCAAAGCACGAGCTGATGCAGTGCGTCCTGGAGTCCCTCAAGCCGCACACCCAGTGGGAGCACATATACAATGAATACCTGGAGCTGTACAAGCTGAACGAGGAGAATTTTGTGATCGATGCGCCGGCGCCGCAATCCTCCTCAACGCTCACCTATCCACTGCCCTCGTCGCCGTGCACGCGCACCCGAGGAGCAGCCGCTGCAGCGGCTGCCATCGAGAAACTGCTCACAGCGGAGCCATCATCACCGCCGCCGCCACCGCCGCCCCCGCCCGCTCAGTCTGACTCGGAGCGCAATAGTGTCGAGCCGGATGGCTGTGAAACGGAATCATCGTCGTCCTCAACGCCAGAGCCCACGCTGCCCGACCACGAAACGGACAAGAATTGAGTGTTGGTTGTGTTCGATGTTTGCCCAAGCATCCGATCAGCGATGTACCGTTCTTATATCTATCCATTCATTTGATTGTTTATTACCCTTTTATTATATATTTGTTCTGGTCTGCCACTGATATTCCATTCACAGATTTTGTCAACTATTTGTAAGCGAGAAATGCGAAAGTTTTTAATATAATGGTCACTATTTTGATAAGCATACAAGCTCGGTGTTTCCATTAACTGGGGAGTAGCTGTTCGACCTGGTTTATGAAGCTCTTTAAAAGTTTCTTACTGTTGCAGTTGATAAGATATAATTATAAGATCAATCCATTATTTAATGTCTCAATATGGACTATTAAAAGCTTCTTGAAATCTGGATTGTAAGCCTAGGCATCCAGTTACTCTATGAAATATTGTAATAGTTCCTTGAAGCAAAAATTTCTATAAATATTTGTCTTCTTACTTTAACGCTTCATCAATCAAATAATTAATCTATAGCTCTCTATAGATTATTTGATTGATGCCTTTTTGGCAAGATATTCTAAATCTTGAATATCTTAAATATCGAAAAAACTATACAGTAATGCATTTATTCACTATAGCTCTAATTTAGCTTCCAGGCTCATTAATCAATCAGTCGAACAATCCAGCTGCGCCCCTTAATCAATCAGTCAATCAATCTATGTGAACATTGGTAAGAAATTTGCTCGAATCTTCTATATAATTATCCGTAGTCTTAATTATCCGCTTCTAAAATACCAAAATAGTATAGAGCTCTAGCGATAGAGTCGCCATGTTGATCATCAATCATCAATCCAACAATCCGCCGATTGACCAAAGAAATTATAAACAATGACTGAAAGCCTTACAGAGATAATGCTAACTTTTCTACCATATAAAGGACTGTTCATCATCAAATTCAATTTTCCAACAGCGCTGCTGCTAGGTTGATCATCAATCAATCAATCAATCAATCAATTGGTAAATAATCTTCGCTAGTTTTTGGCTAGATAGACACCAACACGTACATTTATTCATATAGTCATAGACACTTATAAAAATTTCAATTTCATTGAAGTAGCTGTACATAGTCAAAATGCATGTATGTATACATATAGCCGATATACGATATATTCGGATATATGACATATAAATATGTGTGTGTGACTTTTAGCTTAAGATAAAGTTGAATTGCTTATGGAGCATATAAAATGCCCTTAATAGACATCAATTAGTGTGTAAAATATTGTAAACCAACTTGAAACTCACTCTACTATATTTGAGGTTATGTTGTGTTCCATATGTTATAGTAGGAGATCTGATCATAAAGTCCAGTATTTCGAGTTAAGTTAAACAGTTGTTGATTAGATGGCATATGATTTGAATAGTATTTGAATATGTAAGTATATTTGTATATTTTGTTTGAGGTTATGTTATGTGTATTGATTATTATAGGATATGCTATAGTTGAGAACAATTTAAGTTAAGTTACTTTGTGCTTAAATGTGCTTACGAGTTAATAGCGCATATTTAGTATATAGTTTATTTAGTATATATACTAAATATGAACATTTCCAGGCAGAGTTTTGGAACCATTTGATGGGATCATCTCTGATCTCAAACAGATTTGTAATAAGTTAATATAGGTGGAATGATGAACTGAATATTACTCTTAATTCTCATAGTTTATATGGAATATACATATATATTTATGTATATATATATATTCCTGGAACTACATAGAGCTGTATATGTATATTGGTATATATGGACACTTGGCTAATTATTCAAGTATATATGTTTATGTATCTATGTATTATAATATTTACATATATGGACATTGCTTACATAGTGTATATATATATATGGACATTTGTTGAATGATTAGATATCTGGACATATATATTACATGCCAGACATTTGGTGGGTTATCTTATAGACGTACAAGATCTTGTTAAAGGTTGAATATATATCATGACTGTACTGATATAGATATATATATCTATTCTTAGACATATGTGACAAAATAATCTGTGCTTTATAGCTATATCATAGCTTAGGGTATACATATCTATGTTAATATATCTATCACCATGATTTGGCAATATCTGGAGCTTTGGTTATTTTGTACGGTAGCTTCTATATAGACACATACAACTAAAGACTCACTCGGAGCTATTCACAAAGCTTTGGCGAAGAGGAAATCTATGGCTTAGACTTATTGACTAGACCAGGCGACTTAGCCAACTGTTGAAGCTGGCGCAGATGTTGGGGCAGCAGCAGGAGCGGGACCAGTAGCTGCTGCCGCCAATGCCTCCGGCTATTGGGGACTATAGTGCGGACCCGGAGTGCCCAGACTCTTCATGGGCGAGTCAAATTCAGTCGCAGCTGTAGCAGCAGGTGTTGCCTGTATAACGGTTGTTGCTGCTGCTGCTGCTGGGGTTCCTGCGGCTGCAACGCCAGGCCCCGGCCCAGGGCCAGTGCCAGTGGCAGCTCCAACGGCAACTGCAGCTGCTCCCTCTGCGGCGGCAACTGGCTCTGGCGGCTGCAATGGCCCAGCGGGCACCGAGCCAATGCGCTCCTGTAGCGACTCGTAGAGCTTGTGAATGTGCTCGTTGTGCGCCGTGGTCGGCTGCATGGCCTTCATTAGGGTCGCCAAGCGGCCAGCGGGCAGCTTGTTGTGGACATACCAGAGCAGCTTCAGCATGTGCCGTGATGTCACATTCTCGCGCGTGAGCCCGGCAAAGATGAACTCATCGAAGAGCGTGGTGCAAAAGTCTTCGGTGCCGAACTCATCGCTCATGGGTATGAGCAGCGCGATCAACGAGTGCAGGAAGGGATCCTCGTAGGCGCGATCGTCCTTGCACCCAGATAGAATGGCCAGCACGCGCAGCACGCCAACGCGATCCTTGGTGCGAGCTGTATGCAGCGTGTAATACATGGCCAGAATGCTGGAGACCGAGCTCTCCTGAATGTAGGTCTCGACAGCCTCTGGAGCAGGACCCGAATGCTCGATGGTGGTCAAGGCAGACTCGCGCTCGTCGGGCGGCAGCTTGCCGTGCAGATTGCGGCACTGATCGTCGACCATGAGCGACATGAGAGCCGGCAGAAACTTGGTCACCACCTGGGGCTCGAGTTTGGGCTCCTTGAAGTCCTGCGAATCGATCATGACCCAGGCGCTGAGGCCGAGTGCCAGCATGCGCAGCAATAGAATCAATATCGGATTATCTCTGGGCATGCCCTCGTTGTTGATCAGATGCTGCAGTATCTTTATGACCGAGGTGGCCAAGAAGTTGATGGCATAGGGATCGCACAGGGTCATGGACAGATCGCCCAGCACCTGCTCCTGGCCACGCTTGATGTTGTCGAGGAAGCCCTGCAGTTCGCGCGAACGCTTAATGTCCACATTCTTCTCTCTGATACAGGCATCCAGACACCAGGTGAACTTGTGGCACGGATCTATCGAGATTATCTCCTGCACTTCCAGATCGTGCAGCGCCATCAGCAGCTCAGCGCGCAGCGTGCAGTAGTGGACGTTGCGTGTGCGCAAGAAGAGCGTGCGCAGAAACTGTAGAACCATGTCGTAGAGCTTGACACTGGTGCCGATCATGTTGGCCAGCTTCTGGACAACCTCGCCCTGTCTGCGCACCTTGGGCGTGGGCTGAAAGAACAAATTGTTGAGATTCGTGTGGTCGAAGAGTATGTGCTCCTTCTCGCGAATGTACTGGGACAGCAGTGGCGACACCTCGTCGCCGAACAGGGATTGGTTGTCGCGCCATATTTGACGCTTGACCTCGGTGTCCGTGTCTGCATAGAGCTCACGATCGCGCACCAAGATTCGCAAGTATTTGTCATCGATGTGCTGGGTGTTCCGCAGGATGGCCATGACGACGGGACGCAGCGACTTGACGCGCACCACGGGGAAGCTTTTGACCAGCAGCTCTTTGAGCTTCTTGTCACGCTCACGAGGCTCTTTCTGGCCAAGATCGTTGATGTGCGCGATCAGCTTGTCGCGCAGCTCCTCCATGAGCGAGGTGTGAAAGTCTAGACGACGAACGCCATGCAAGTCCAATAGCGGTAGCATGGGGCGCAATGACGGCAACAAGACGCCATTCTCCAACTACCGAGTGTAATTGATATGCAATTAAAATTTTCGCGCCTTTTCTTTTTATTTGAGGTAAACAAACCTGGAAACTTTCGATGGCCTTCAGCGGATCTGTACAGGAAGTGAGCGCCTCGCGCAGGAACGCTTGACCGGGTATATTAACATCCTCTAAGCCAGTGCCATTGTTTTTGGTGGGTGTGCTCATTTTAACTCAACAATTTGGAAAATGATGGAAAAATTGTCGGCAGCCAAAATGGCAAAGCGAATGCAGAAATAAAACTAGTGATGACAGTTTGGCTAGGTACAGAAATGCATCGATTACCGCTGCAGCGATATTTGGCAGTCAGGTCTGCCACTAGATAATACAGCTATTGGTAAGCAATTGAGATTTCACATTTATTTTTGATTAGCATTTCAATAATACTATTTTGTAGCTTCTCAGAAACGTGAGTCTTGTGTGGTCGAACGTGCATCGATTGCCACTGCAACGATGTCGTGAGACTAACAATGCGATAGATGCTGTGGTAACGATAGTATTTAGGGCTGAGTGCTGATATTTTTCCGCTTCAGCCCTCTGGCAACGCTAGCCGCTTTGCATACACAAACACAGTACGGCAACGCTTTTGAATAGCCCAAAAAAATTTCTATCCAAAAGTTTTGTTTTTTTCTGCGTAATTAAACATGGCCAATTCGTGGTTACCCATACGGTGTGTGCAAAGAACGCGTGTGCATTAAATGTTGAATTCAGTGTGCATTTTGGCTGGCCTGGAGCACACGTACGCGCAAGCCAAATGTCTTGGCATGCCAGACCATTTATCAATTGAACACACAGCGAGAAAGAGAGAGGAAGCTGCTGACCGAAATTGAATAATAAACGCAATTACATGCAAAAGGTGTAAACAATAACATTTGCCTGTGACTTCCCTGCGCGCAGCTGTCAGTGAAGTAATACGAGGAACAGCAGCAACAAGCTAATACAAAGAGATATATACATATACAGTCACACATACACATATCCAACGTACACGTACACTCATACGCACACACACAGACAGCATGTCGGAGCGCAAGCGTTATCACAAGGACAATGCGCCCGCGGACGATATTATCACGCTTATCAATCTGGTGCGCCAGAATCCGGCTCTATATAACTACAAGCTGCAGCCGGATCAGCGACGACGCCCGGATATATTGAGCGGCTGGCAGGAGGTATCTCAGCAAATGGGCAGTGAGTAGCAGCAGCTGGCTGAGATCGCACATATTTACATGTATATACATATATTTGGATAATTTAATTGATCAACTTTTTGCAGACAAGTACAGCGTACAAGAGGTGCGACGCAAGTGGAAAAACCTGAGAGATACGTACCATCAGTATCGTCGCCGTTCGCCCAAGTGCATTGAGGGGCGCTTGTCCAAGTGGCAATATGCCAAGCAGCTGGACTTTCTATCGAAGGTGTACCAGCCCAAATTGAAAGCGCATCGCAATGCGCTGGCCGCCATGGTGCAGATCAAGAAGCAGCCGGATGATGAGGATGAGGACGAGGATGAGGATAATATTGTTAATGGTGGTGTTGGTGGCGTCGAGCATGACCACGATGTGGAGCATGACATTATCGATGAAGATGAGCATTCGGATACAACGGCCCTGTCCTCCTCACAGATAACGCTCGTCAGCGATGAGACCGAGGCGTTCATAATGACCGCCTATGAGGAGAGCGTGGCTGATGATACGGTGCATCACCATCATAATGCGCACAGAATGGCCATGCCGCAGCAGCACCATCATCAGCAACAACAGCAGCATCATCAGCACAATCATCACCAACAGCAGCAGCAGCAGCAGCAGCAACAGCATCATCATCATCATCATCAGCAGCAGCACGACGGCAGCATTTCCAGCATTGAGTTGTCACAAATCACTCACGATGACGATGACGTGGTCGACGATGAGTTGGACGACGATGATGTGGTGGACCATGACGGGCAGGTGGTCGACATTGTCAAGCATGAGCTGGACGAGGATGGCGCCACAGCAGCCGAGGTCGATTACGAGGAGGTCTGTCTGTACGAGGAGGCGAGCGGCACGCACTGCGAGCTGGGCGTCGACGGCAGCAGCGATGTGGTCGACAGCAAAGGCTTCCATTACATTGATACTGACGAGTTCTGCATAGAGGATATCGAGCCGGAGCCAGAGACACGCACCACGGTGAGTGTGCCGCTGCGTGCGACAGCGCATCATTCGCACGCACACACCCACACACACACGCATACACAACATCAGCAGCATTCGCACCACCTGGTGAGCAGCGCCACGGCCACGAACAGTGTTCTGGCTGGCGGCGGCGGCGGCAGCGTCATCACGGCCGACACCAAGCTCAAGAATCTCACACTCGTGACGACCACTGCAGCTGCGGCGGCGGCGGCGGCGGCTGCATCCACATCAGGCTCTGCCTCGAACAGTCAGCGCTGCCACGAAGCAGCCAGCACTCAGCAAATAGCGCTCGTCGATGTCACCGAGGCGACGAGCACCAGTGTCACCATATCCAGTACGCCAGCCGTGGCGTTGAATGCGGCCACGGTGAGCACCACGCTGCCGGCGGGAGCGGCAACGGCAGCAGCGGGGGTGCAGCCACAACAAGGAACAGCTTCAGCTGCGGCAGCGGCCGCGGCGGCAGCAGCAGCTGCCACACTGTGCAATACATCAACAAATACGCCATATAATGGGGCGACGACCATACTGCAGCTGCCACCGCTTAGCTGTCCGGGCAATCAAAATAACGTCGTCGGCGGCTCCTCCTCTGGCTCCATCAGCGTGGCCGCCTCGAGCAGCACACTGATCAAGGACGAGGAGCAGCAGCAGTTCGCGCAGGCGCTGATTAAGCGCGACGAGCTCGATTTGTTCTTTGATTTTCTTAAGAAAAAAATGCAATATTTTACCAAGACGCAGATCACTCACATTCAAATGGAATTCCTCAACTGTGTCAGCAGGCAGGAGGTGGCCGAGCAGGATGCCAAGGACTAGCTGCATATGCATTCATAGATATAGACAGCCAATATATGCAAAGCTATATACATATACATATATATGCTTGATTATTTAGACTTGTTTTTTTTTTTTTAAAGTAGTTTCTCTAGCCAAACAGAAAACAAATTATTAACGCCTGCCCCCAGCCCAGTTGAAATTCTATTTTTTCTCTTTTGTAAGTGTTTGTCTGTAGCTTTAGCCTCGCTTTAACTTCCACCAACCATATATATGTGCAGATTATTTGCATATATATGTCTATCTGTATAATCGTATGTTTTAACGTAAATTTTCCCAAAAAAAAAAATAATAATAATAAAAAATAAGAATAATAACAAAAATAGGTTCTAAGTATAAAGAACTTAGTCTGTACGAACTTCAAGTGTAATGAATATAATTGTAAAATAAACTAATCGATTCTCGAAAAAAAAAAATAGAAGAGGAAAAACAGTTCGAATTATAAATATATAAACAAACAAGGCGAGATTCATTTACCTCTTACCTTTTCCATCCAGTTGCAGCCTCAGCTCTCTATCGCTTTCTCTTTCTCCCTCTGTCGCTGTCCCTCTCACACTCAAAGCTAGCCTCTTCCATTTCCCATGCACTTCTTAACAGCACTGTTAATAACACGTGCGCCACTGTTGATATTAACAGTAAGCTGTATATGCGAGCGCAGCTTTAGTATCTCATTTGAAGACACTTTTATGGTGATAAAGTTCACGATCTACATGAATTGGGGAGTTGATTGTCTTTCAGTCCCATCATCTATTTCTACTCTCACAACACAACTACAGTTGAAATCTATTTCACTTATGCCGTACAATTTATTTAAATAATATATTTGAACTAACTAGAAAACAGTTTTCATAACAAACGGAAAACTGTTTCGTTTACGGGTTAATAGCTTTGCAAATTTTATTGGCATTTGGCCAAGGTCCTGGCACAATATCGCGATCAACGGCAACAACAACAATTTATTTAGATTTGGGCGAGAGAATCGAAATATATATGCTGGCGAAATAATCGAAACTTAAACGAGAAACAAACTTAAGGGACTACAAGGACTACAATGACTGCTGGCCATCGAGATATAGACGAGAACAATATTCGCAGGGGCCATAGACTCAATTAGGATGGGATTGCAACTAGTAGTAGATGAAGATGGAGTTCCTTAGCTTTCTCAATTGGCTAATTAGCTCACGCCGCAGGCGCCTGCGTGGTGGTGGCCGGTGGAGATGGCGTTGGTAGCGATTCGCCCTTCAGCCTGGCAATGTGCTCCGAGTTGAAGAAGATGACGGTGATGGTTATGTCGTCCCGATACAGACGCACCACATCCTGTGGCAACGACAGATAATACGAGATCTTCGAGTGCTCAATACCATAGTCTGTGGCGCCCAGCGCATGGCGTATCAAATGCGTTGCAGCATTCTGATCAATGGGTTTGCGAGTTAGACCCGCTCTAGGGTGCAAAAAGAGATTTTCAATTTAGAAAAGTTCATGTAAATGAACTTGATATATAATTTTCTTACTTGCGCTCCGCCAATTGCTCGGAGATCTGCTGCAGCTTGACATCGCCCGGCGGCAGTCGCATCGGCTCCAGTATCTTCTTCGAGTTGATGTGCTCGCCCACAAGGCTGACTACTTCGCTGGGCGTCAGGAAGTCCCAGAGGCCATCGCTGGCAATGACTAGAAACTTGTCGTTCGAGCACAGCTCGTGCTGTTGCACATCGGGCCGGGCGGTCAGGTACGGTGGCGTATAGTAGTTGGGCGGCAGCACCTGTTCGCCGAACATGGGCACCACCTTCTGGTGTAGCGTCTTTAATGGCCATTTGTAGCGGAAGTCGCCAAAGGCGCGCAACGGCGCCAGTTGGCTGAGCAGCCGTCCATTGCGTATCACCGTCTCGCGCTCCTCGTGCGGATGCTCGCCGAGAATGCGGCTCACCTCCGTCATGTTCTCCACGTTGTGCTCGATGTTCAACTTCTTAGGGTGCCACTGATTTGTCTCTGGGTCGAGCACGCCCAGCACAGCGCCGCAGTCTCCAGTGCTGGCCACGTGCAGCTGCAACCCTTCCAGGTGCACCAAGCAGGCGACGGCACCTGCAACGTAAACCAGAGAATATGTCAACTGCTCCTCGCAATTCTTCCAATGTCTGTCTGCAACTCACCCGACAGTGCCACGCCCATTGTGCGCGCATCGTTGCTGCCTAGCGCCTCCTCTGACAAATCGTTGTCCAGCTGGAGAAATGCCTGCTCCAGCTCGCTGGTCACATCCCGTGACGGCTCGCCACTTAGCCGCTTAATATAGCGCTGAAAGCTCTGCTCATACAAGGGCCGAATCTCACTCACAAAGTCCACTTTGTCGTTGTGACACTTGAGAAAGGATTGACTTGTGCAGTCCTGCTTCATCTGCTCGCGCAGCACTTGGCGCGGCAGCGTCGCAGCCGAAATGTAGCGCAACAGCCGCTTCGACACAACCTGGCCGCAGGCGGCGCCCGCATGCCCATCGAAAATGCCACAGATGAAGCCGTTCCGATGCAAGAGACTGGCCTCGGTGCGCGAATCCTCGCAGGGGGAATTGGAGCCGAGCTGATTTGTTTCATAGCTGCGTATGATGCCCTCCACCGGGAAGTTGTACACAAACTCGTTCTCTTTCAGGGTAATGTTTACCTGGGGGCGCAACGGCAACAACAGTTAAAATAGCATTGATCGATAGCTCCGCAGATCGATACTTACATCGTAGGGGCTTAACTGTGGCAATTGGGGAAGCAGCCGCAGCGCGTTGAGACTGAATTCACGCACATTACTGCGCACATAGCCAACGGCGTCGTGCAGCACAAATTTTAACATCTATGTGTATATATATATATATGTTTATATATATATATAATCTAATTTGTTCGATAACCTTAGGCGCACACGTTGATCGGGAGTATGGAGCAGTTAACAGTTAACAGCTGCTCCTAGTTTTCGTGCGCCGTTGCGTGTTCTGTGTAAAGTGTGGTGGCGCAAATATTGCTTGGAATTGGTACCCGTCTGTTACTGTACATTTGTGTAATGCCAAAGTAAAAACAATATAAAAATAAAGCCGAAATAAAACGGACTTTTGTCAAATGTGACAGCTAGTGATGGCAGCTGAAACAACTGAATGTATATCGATAGATTATAACATCGTTAATATTTGATTTGAACTTTTTAAAAACAGCTGCAGCTTTTGTAGGCTTAAATTTTTACGTTTACATTCTACATTTTATATATGTATCTTCATATAGCAAGATCTTGAATACTCGAACTTAACTTAAATCGATACTAGATTTGAATTTTCCTTGGCGCTGCCACTTTGCATATGAGTACTTGCGGACGCATTGTACTCCTTTGCCAGCCCTGAAGCCAGCCCACGCACACACATACACATACAATTGGTGTGCGTTAGAAAAAAAAAACAAACAAAACTCAGCAGCTGAGTTACTTAAATTCAATAAACAATATAATTGTTGTTTATTTAGAGAATATTATTCGTTCAAATTGCAAAGAAAATATCAGTAATTTTTCAGCAGCTATTGTGGGTGTGTTTGGAAACAGCGTCTCTAGCTAAAAAGGACGTGAAGTGAATTTTAGTTTAAAACGCAAAATATCAACAATCGAGAGGGGCAAAAGCGCACAACAACAGCAACAAATAACTGTAGCACCCAAAACTACTGTAGCGGAGTGGGGTGTGGAGCAACACAATGGTGGAGCCAATCTTTGATTATCAATTCCGTTTAATTCTCATCGGCGACAGCACAGTGGGCAAAAGTTCACTGTTAAAATTCTTTACAGATGGAAAATTCGCCGAGGTAAATGACTTGATTGTACTCTTAATATGTGTGTCAAGTGAGTGTGAAACAATGATAATTACATAATTATATGGCTGATTTAGTAATATATATACATATGCATATGTATATATGTAATAAAGACACAGGCTAAGATGCTTTGTCGCAGCCGCTGTCTATGTGGTGTGTCTGTGTGTGAGTGTGAGTAACTGATAATGCATGCAAAAAAAAAGGAAAAAAATCAACAAAGTGTGGCAACCTTGGATTGTGCGCATTATTTTTTTTTTTGTCTTATTTGATTCGTACTTGAAGCCTGAATTAATCTTTATATTTATTTTACGCAGCTTTCGGATCCCACAGTGGGCGTTGACTTCTTTGCACGCCTCATCGAGATGAAGGACGGCACACAGATCAAACTGCAGCTGTGGGACACGGCTGGGCAGGAGCGCTTCCGTTCCATAACCAAATCCTATTACCGGAACTCCGTTGGTGTGCTACTGGTGTACGATATATCGAATCATGCCAGCTTCGAGCATATACCGCTCTGGATGATGGAGGCGCAACGCCACATTGAACCGCATCGTCCCGTTTTTGCGCTCGTCGGCTGCAAGCTGGATCTGGTGAATGCGGGCGGACACCGTGAGGTAACCACCGAGGAGGCGCAAACATTTGCCAAACAGCACGGATTGCATTTTGTGGAGACTTCGGCGCGCACCGGCGCCAATGTCGAGGAGGCATTTCGCATGGTCACACAGGAGGTCTATGCCCGCATACGATCCGGCGAATATAAGGCCGAAGATGGCTGGGATGGCATAAAATCCGGCTTTGCGCGGCCAAACAGTTTGGATTTCAATCTGGTTGTGGCCGAGCCAGAGAAATCGTCTTGCTGTTGATTCAACTAAAACTCTTTGTTTTGTTTTCGTTTAGAGTTTCCACTCATATACGTATATATTTATATATATATATAGACTATATATACCATTTTTTTATATATATATATATATTTAAATTTGATTTTTTAATGGAACGTTCATTATGCTGATCTTTATTCACATATGACGGTCTGTAACATTTTTGTTAACTCGTTTTTAATAGCGCACCAAAAATGAAAAAAATTTAAAGAGTAGTCGAAATAAGAAATTGCAAAATTGTACACAATTGTACACGAATTATATATAATATGTATGAATATATATGTATGTATGTATGTATACACTATATATACGTTGCAGCTACTTTTTAGTTATGTTTTTAAGTTAATTCGTATAATTTAATAATGTCAATTTGGCCAATTAGATAAATCATGGTTCAAGGAAAATTATGTTTATTTTCTTATATCCCCAAAACCAAAACTAAACAAAAATAAGAAAAAATATGCCAATTGTCGCCCACAAAACTCCTCTCTGATTAATAACAAAACTAAGAACTTTTTCAGCTTTATACGTAGCAGAGTTTTGTGCTCTACTAATTAACTTATACAAATTGAAATTGAAAATATAAACGTTTTTATTGATTAAAAGTGAAGTTTGCAATTGTTCCTTTGTCCAACAAGAATTCAAAAATATACCGCCCAATTGTGCATGATCTGGCAGCACTTTAAAACTGTCCAGCTGCAGCGAGTGGCAGCTCAGCTGTTAAAATCAGAACATCGAGTACTTTCTGCATGGCCAAAGCTCCAACGATATTTATGCATTGATGTTGACATACTAATCCCTACTTGATAAATAAAAATTGAACTAATTTCATATGCACCTTCGGATAAGCTGCTTTAAATTAATTTATAGTTGAGCAACGATTCCTGTGAGTGTCGTGTGCTTGATTAGGACTGGAATCGATGTCAGTTTAGATATCGATACACACATGACTATCGAATTTGCTGTCAAAAAAACAGTCTTTTTTTTTGTAGTGTGTCTAACACACAGATACTCCAGATTAGCGCGTGCCACTTTTAATTTCGACGGCCACACACAAAAAAAAAAAATAAAAAAAATAAAAATAATACACACACACAGAAAAACAGCTTAACTGACAACATACAAAATGGGTAACGTGCTTGCGGCCTCATCCGGCGTCGATGCAGCAACGGCGCGCAGCAACAGTGTGGCAGCCAGTTTGGGTTTGCCGGAACCAGCGGCTATTTCATCCACAGAGCAATCAGCGCCATCGGTTGCCAGCGAAGTGAGCGATGCGAAGGACAATCAGCTGGAGAATCCCGGCACCGTTGAGGAGTTGCATAAAAAGTGCAAAGGTAGGCAAATGTCATTCAACAATTGGTGCAAAAAATCGAACAGAATTTTGTTTCACTGATGACATAACCTACAAGCATGTGAAAGGGGGGGTCGGCCGAACGTCCATGTGTGTGTATATGTGCGTGTGCGTGTGCGTGAATGCGTATGTGTGCGTATGCCTGCTGATTATGTATTATCAGTGCAAGTACATATGTGCATATACATATATTTATATGTATTTAAGTATATACGTACATATGTGTGCCAATGTACTTCTATCAATATGGCTGAGGGAATTGCATTTAAAGCAACTTTTCACTGTGCATTGCAGATGTCCAAGCCATCACCTTCGAGGGCGCCAAGATCATGCTGAACAAGGGCCTGAGCAATCACTTCCAGGTATCGCACACGATCAACATGAGCACCACAGTTCCGAGTGGCTATCGCTTTGGGGCCACCTATGTGGGCACCAAGCAATACAGCCCCACCGAGGCATTCCCCGTGCTGCTCGGCGACATCGATCCGTCCGGCAATCTGAACGCAAATGTCATACATCAGTTCTCGTCGCGTTTGCGCTGCAAATTCGCCTCGCAGGTAAGTGAAATGTCCTAAACATACAAATTTCATGTCTCAGACATTTTCTGCTTACAGATCCAAGACTCGAAGATGATGGCCACACAGCTGAGCACAGATTATAGGGGCAATGACTTCACCGCCTCCATAACACTCGGAAATCCTAGCATATTCACCAATTCGGGTGTCGTTGTTGGCCAATATCTACAATCGGTCACCCAGCGCATGGCCCTTGGCGCCGAGGTGGCCTATCAATATGGACCCAATGTACCTGGACGTCAGATAGCGATTGTTTCGGCATTGGGCCGCTACACCAGCGGAGATTCGATTTGGTCTGGCACCTTGGGCCCCAGCGGCATTCACTTGTGCTACTATCAGAAGGCCAGCGAGCAGCTCCAGATTGGCGTCGAGGTGGAAACAAGTCTCCGCATGCAGGAGTCTGTTGCGACCATAGCCTATCAAATTGATCTGCCCAAGGCGGACTTGGTGTTCAGAGGTTTGCCCAATTGCTTAACTATAGAAGACTTTTGATTGACCGATTGAATGACTAGTTTTAGTATTTAATGATCAAGTGATTAGTTAATTAGTAGCTAATTAGGTTAGACTGACTGAAAGACTGACTGAATTATATTCGACTGATTGACTGCTAACCAAATTGTTAAGATACATTCGATTGACTGATTGATTGTGAAGTGATTTATTATAGTTTTTGTTGATGCATTGTTGGCTGACTGATAACCTGATTGATTAACTAAACGTTCGCAGTTTAAGTGACTAGTTATATTGATTAAATTACTGACCTTTTGATGATTTGATGATTAAGCTTTTTCGACACTATTTAGAGACCGATGGGTTTATTGAATGAGAGCTATATTTAAGCGACTTGGAGTAGAAGCTGTAACGTCTATTATAATTTCTTACTCTATGGACTAATGTAATGACTAATGTAACTTATTGTTAGAGAAATCTGAGTGCGTAGTAAGTAGTACGATAAGCTGATGGATGTAGATAAGACAGAATGATGCATAGTGATAGGCGGACTTTGTATGGATGCGAGATGAGAGACAATATCTAGGCTTTGCCACTAATCTTTTGCTTTAATACATATATTCATAATTATATTCATATTCATATATTTTCTCTTATTTGCTTGCAGGCTCATTTGATTCAAATTGGCACATTTCGGGCGTTCTAGAGAAACGTCTGCAGCCTTTGCCATTTTCGTTTGCGCTCAGTGGACGTATGAATCATGTGAAGAATAACTTTAAGCTCGGCTGTGGACTGATGATTGGTTAAGCAACAATGAAACAAAAGTAAAACAGAAACACACACACACACACATACACATCTACAATAGCAATAGCAACATATTTAGTGAACAGAAATTGAGCAAACAGACAACTGAGACAACATAAAAGGCGGATATGGAAATGTAAACAAAATCATAATTGTAATCGTTCATAACACACACATTCACACACACCTACACGCACCCACACACACACACACACACACACACACACACACTACTGCAGCAAGCACAGCATATGCATGTGCATATATATATATGAGTAGACTTATATGTATATGAATACATATATTTGTATATTTATTTATATATATATGTGTATGTATAACTGTCAGGATATATACATATATCTGTATGTATATATATATCCGTTTGTTCAATTTGTTTTAATTTCTCTGTAATGAGTTTTGATAATTTGACATTCAAATGAAATTGCAAACGTAACAAAATTCCAAAGCAAACAAACGCCACAAACAACTAATATGCAACAAGCAAGAACAACAACAACAACAACAACAAGCCGGCAAGGCAATAAGCGCATGCGAATCAGCCAGTAAATTCTTTTCAGTCATCAAATGAATGAAGTTAGCAAAAGCAAAAGCAAAGGCAAAAGCAAAAGCAAAAGCAAAAGCAAAAGCAAAATTAAAAGAAAATACTAGGGGCGCAGGCGTTGTTAAATGTAAAATGTAAAATACACACAATCAGCTGTATTTGGTATTAGTCTCTACACGATAATAAACGTATATATATATATATATATATATATATATATATATATATATATATATATATA